TTTTGAGAAAATTTCCAAATCAATTTTATGTATTTTGAAAAAATTTCCAGAATCAATTTTTGAAACGTTGCAAGCATTAATTTATCACAGGGAATACTTGAAAAAATTATACAAAATTCTTTTAACAAATAAAATCAAATTGCCAGTTCCAAATTTCCTAAAAAAACGATACAAAAAAATTTAACATTTTATTGGAAAAGTTTTAGAAAAGAAATTTACTAATGCATAATGAAACAAAATTCAACATTTCTGCTAACTGCTTATTCAACAACAACAACAACAACAACAAATTCTTTAAAATCATTCATACATCAAATTCTAAAATTAGTCCTTGTAAAAGCATCACTGTGGTAAATGCTTGAGAAAGTAAAGTAAAAAGGATTTAAAAGCTATTGAAGAGCTGTCTTATCAACTACACTTAAAACAGATAGCTTATCACAATAAGAAATATACTTTGTACTTACTTCTCCTTAAAATATTTAAGATGAAATGAATTGATGTGCATACGTTTACACGTTGAAATCCTACGAAAACATCCATACATTGAGATGCTATGGATTAATGTATACACGTTTACACGTTCAGATATTATGAATCGACATGTATACTTTCATGTCAATGAATTGACGTGTACATGTTTACACGTCTATTTATGAATACTTTTCTTAAACATAACTGAAATGTAACGAATCGACATGTACATGTTTACATGACCTATCTATGGATTGATTGCTTATTTGTATAAAACTTAAAATTAAATATCATTGGCTTAGTTGAAAAATGCATAAATTGATAAGAAATCTCGAACAAGGCGTATCAAGAAAACGATAGAAACTTCAATCTTTACTTCATTCTATAATTAAAATAATGAATTCTTTTACAAATTAGCCTAACTCCTCCATTCTTTCTTCCTTTCCTCCTTTTTTTTCATCCATTCATTCATTCTTTCAATTTAGCTTAATTTAATCCAAAATAATTAAATTTTTTATTAGAGAAAATTTTTTAATTACGCATATTTTTTTTGCTTTTTTTCACTTCTCTATCTTTTTCCAATTATTTTAAGATATAATTTGGAAATTTAACAACTGATCGAAAAAGACAGCTTGTGAATAATATGAATTCTGCAACATAGTTTTAGCGGGAGCAATAGATAATAAAATTCGTAATTTTTCAATTAACAAATAATAATTCTAATCAATTAATTCCATCATTCAAAAACTATCTTATTTTAACGATTATCATGTAATCATTTAAGATTACTTTTGGTAAAGTATTTGTGAAACGTGAAACGGGTAAATAGCGATAGTAATGATGTAAATTTGAAGAAGAATTTGCATACTAAGTGCTGTTAATAATAATTTCAAACTAAGCTAATTTAGTAATTTACCGCATATATTTGTTGATGCATATCTTTGCTTAGCTGCAGTACTTTGCTACGTCGTTCAAGTGCGCCACTTAATGCATCAGCCATACGATCCAGTTCATCACACTTTGGCAATAAACTTGCTGTTAATTCAACATCTTGGGATGAAATTAACTCCTGTCCTGCATCACGTAATAAACGTGCGCCATTCACATCTTCCTAAAAAAATTGGAATCGTAATAATAATAATCATGATCAATAATAATACAAATAAATCACTAATGGAAATATACAAATGGCACTTTTTTTTCAAAATTGTTTTATTATAATTTAATTAAATGGATATAATTTCAAGCGCTTAAGAGACAACGCAATGAGTAATTTAAAATTAAAGCTGATAATATTAATGAATTATCAATAGTAAATAACTGATAAATATTAA